CGAATTGAGAGATCACTTGACGCAGACGCAACGTTTCCCATTTGGCCAACAGATTTTGGTGTGCATTCGTAACACTTTTCATCTGTGTACTTTTTGGTTGCACAAACTAAATGAAATTATTTCCGTATAATTTATTTGCACTAACAAGAAAATGATATAAGCGTCTGGGGCGCTAACTCAGCCCTCGGGCGGCATTCATTAAGTGCAACAACAACTATCGTGACAGTCGTCTCCAACTGAGTCCCCATCGCAGTCGCGTTCGTCTTCATCATCATCATCATCATAACCAGAGAGAAGCTGAAATTTATGCCTGACATAGAAACACAATTTCGTCTGACTGTCGACCATTTTGTTCATGTACTTGCATCTGCCACCATTTGACTTGTTTCCATGTCTTGTTGTCTTGCCTGGCTTTTTACATTTTTTATTTCCATTTTTTTTTTGCTCAAACCCTCCCCTTTGGCTTGCTTTCAAATTGAGTTGTAACACGCCAAAGAAATAAAACAAAAAAAACAAGTTTGTGTTTGAGTGGTTGCAGTTGTGCATTCGACTAGAAGATGCCCTGCCTAAGCGAAGCAGCAACAGCAACAAATTCCAAGTGAAATAACTACAAGTCCTTGCGCACTGTGGCAGATGCAGTGCCTGCTTTTGAGTGGGTCAAGGCGGCTAATAAGCCCCTTGGCGTCTCACTCATGAGGCCACACTTCAGCTTCCATGTCCACTTAACCTCCATCGTGACATTTTTCGTTATATTCCATTGCTCACACTTTATATCTATATATAAATATTTTTTATTATTTTTATTTGCTGCTACTCGCAGTCCTCCATGTTCACCTTAGTTAGACTATCTCTTGCTTTTTTCTATTTATGATTAGTTTTCAATAAATTTGCTTAGTTTATTCTGCATTTAGCTGACCTCCATGGTCACATTATTGCAATCGCCTTTTGCATTGAAAATTTGTGTACTTTTTTTTTATATTATTTGTATTTACAGCTGCTCGCATTCGCTGCGTGAAGAACTTCTCGTTCATGTCCTCCATGTTCAACTTATTTAGACTATTGTTATCACTTTGACATTTATCGTAGGTTTTTAATAATTTCGCTTATTTATTCACTTAGTTTAGTCACTTTTCACTATTTCCTTTTAGCTGTTTATGCGCAAACATCCTCCATGTTTACTTTAATTTTTAAATAACTCCGCTGCAAGCCTTGCACACATTTCTAGTCCTCTAGTTGAACGGCCTCCAAGCTCTCGCCTTCTACTAACTCGTTTTGCAAATATTCAAATATTTTCTTATTTCTCCTTTCTGACAAAGAAAAATACCCTTTCAGCAGATACCCTGCAATCGACCATCTAATTACCTGCAGCTGGGAATTAAAGGCAAGCGAAGTGCGAGTTAAATGTGAGAAAAAATAACTGCTAAGTTACCCTCAAGCGGCAAAACCGCACAATGCTGTTGACCAGCCACAAAAAAATCAAATATAAAAAGCGACAAAAGCTGTACAGCAGGCAAACATCCACACACACACAACACACATACATGAATGAGCTGTAGAGCTGTGTGTGCGGGCAGATAGCTTAAGGTCCCTTGTATCATGACGAAGCTGTTGACACTTCATAAATACATGAGTTGCACTCAACGTCCGCTCACACGTGCACTGCGCGCACACACACACACACACACACACACATTAGGTGTACTAGTGCTGCGCAATTGTTACTCTTCACGTTTTGTAATACCCTGTAATCAGCAGAGGATTATGAAAGCGGCATAATCCGGCTCCTGTTCACCCAATTAAAAACGTTGCAGCTGCAACTTGAACGACAGCTAAATACCTAGTAATGCATATAGGAAAAATAGGTATGCTTGACGAAGGGGGCCAGAGTGGCGCGTGGCTGTAATTGATGTTATATCGCTTTATACAGCATAACTACTACAATAAATTACTCTTTCTTTTTCTTTTTATAGGGTATTAGCCAGTGGAGCTCTTTTGTTATCTTTCTTGTTTTTTTGTCAAGTACATTTTTTGTGTTTTGTCCCATTCGAGCACTTCAACAAATTTACACTTGTATCACTCAAACGCTACGTTTTTATGCCATTTGCCTCACACACACACACACACGCTGCCCACCTAAACATGGCGTTTGCACTTGTTGTCAACGCTTGTTTCACGCCTGAATCGTTGCATGCGAGTTACAAGAGAACTAAAAAAAAAAAAAAATAATAACACAAAAAACGTACTTAAATAAAAGGAAACAAATTTTAACAACAAAATTAAAAGCACGCGAAATTTGTGTGCACTATGAAAATGAATAAAAAAAAAATTCGAATGTTTGCACCAAACTGCCAGCGAAAGTGTGGTGCAAAGTGCGAAAGAGCTCAAGGATATCTGGCACAGGGTGCAGGTAAATTGCATTGACTATGATTCAGGTCGGTGAACCGGTTGGAAAGTGATTCAGCTTGATAGCTCCGGGAAATGTGGTTTGTGGGATGAGAGAATAAGACTCTTAAGTTTGTGAACCGGTTCGAACTTGGTGTATAGCCACAGCTCAAAGACTATTTGAGCCATAATGGTGGATCTTAGTGTTTAGAATAATTTGTCTCAATAGAGCTTCGTCAATTATCAAAGATTAAGACTATGGCCTTGAAACCGGTTCGAAAAAGGTTTATAGCCATAGCTCGAAAAGTATTTAAACCATGATGCTCTTGCTTGGGTAAAAGGACACTAAACTTCTTCACGTTAGACTATGGCTAAAGCTTGTTAACAGGTTCGAAAGTGGTTCACAGCTATAGATAAAAAAGTATTTTAGCCATGATGCTGGTACTTGGTTTATAGGATACTTAGTACTAATGGAGCTTTATCAGTTATCAAAGAAACGAGGACTTGTGACTGTGAACCAGTTCAAAGGCGGTTAAGTGGTTCATAATCGTTTGAATACAAATACTGCAACTTGATTCGTGTTATGCTTTATTATATTGGTATAAATGTGGACATGTATATATATGTTAGTCTGTCAAATTCTAGGTTGCAAGTGCATGAACCGGTTCAAACAAGACTGAACAAAACATTATCTTAATATAAGTTAACACCTTGTGGGACAAACTATGAATCAAGCCAATAAACGAGAGGGTATCGCAGCTGCGATGTGTCAAAAGGAAAAGTTCTTCCAGTGTTTGTTCATAATGCTGCCCTAGGGGCTATGACAAGTTGTTGAGGGGGGGGGAGGGTCAAAAATAGTGGCAAAAAGCATTTAATAGAGAGGCGCCACTAGCCAAAAACCACGAAGAGGAAGCACACCATGAAAAGCTGCAGCTGGCATTTGCTGTTGGCAAGGGGGAGCAGCAGCACGGGCCGGGGTAGGGACAGGGACAGGCAAAACTATGCAAAAGGCAAATGAAGGGGAAAAATAAATGCGAAACAGAGCAAATGAATCACCGACAAATTACGGTAAGAAAAGGAAATTCCAAAACGGAAATGGCGGCAGCAAAATTTCGTTATGGCAACATCACAATTTTTTTGTGGCGCATATTTCCTCTGCTCTCTTTGTGTTTTCTTGCTTCTTCTTCTGCTTCTGCTTCTTTGCTGCTACCAACAATATTTTCAGATTCTTAAGTTTTTTTTTTATGTGCCAGCGGCCAAACGGAGAAGTAGTAAAAATTTTAACATAACTTGAGAGCACGAATAAAAACAAAAACAAGAAAATACAAAAAAAAACCGCTGAAAAAAGGTCTTATAAAATATGCATATGCTCATTTGAGCTTACAGCATAAAATGGCAAACTGCCACGCCCACACATAAGTAAACACACTCATTCACAACTTTTTGGCGTGCGAAATTTCATTAAAGTTCCAACTAAAAATACCTTCACTTTAAGATGTTCGCACTGAATGTGCCCAAGCCGATTACAAAGTCTCAGATCCCCAAGATGAACAGAGTTGAACTGGTTCACTTTTTAGTTGGAGGTTACTTTGAGACATTTACCTGCAATAAAAGGGTGAAAAACAGCTCATGAGTAATGTAGTACCGGTATCATCATTAAATATCTATGTATATGGAGTATATATTGTATAAATATAGTATGGGATATGCATATTATAGCAGGTATTGAGGTTGCGAAGTTCAATTACGTGTGACCCCATGCAAAGTTCGTTCCCTAGAAAGCGTAGTTCTCAGGTGGCATTGCGTATCAAGCGTTGAGACAGAAGCAACAAGGGCTCCTGGTAGTTAACAACACACACACACACACACACTCATATGCTAATGGCATCAGGATCAGAGCATCTCAAAGCTAGTTGTGAACAGCTCAGACTCGGTCAAAACTCAACCGATTTTCACGAAGTTGGGCTTTATGTTCATGGTTTGGTCCAAATTAATGTTAATATTGTATCCTCAAAAATCCAATACAGACATGGGTCAAAACTTCCCAATCTCATAGCTCGGTCAAAACTCAACCGATTTTTACGAAGTTGGGCTTTTTGTTCATGGTTTGGGTTTGCGTTACACATTTCATATCAAAATTATAATACTCTCTACAAGGGTATAAAAAAGAGGCTCGAAAAGTCGGTGCAGTTGAAATAACATCTATCATGCGGACATGCGATATATTTCTATATCAAGCTTTACAACTACGATTTCAGGAGCAATTTACATTTGTAGTCGATTAGTCGCAATGTTTGAAATCATTGAGAGCTCTTGTTCTTACACAGGGAAAAAAAACTAAAGTACAGCAGTCTTAAAAAAAGCTATACTGTTTTGAACTTAGGTTTTAGGTTAATCCGTTTTTATTTGTGTTGCTTGGAAATAGGATTCGAGTCGAAAGAAGGGAGAAGAACACTTGACGATTTGGGTTAAGTTCACATCTATATATATATATATATATATAGAAAAGTATGGTGAGTTGCGGTTTGTTTTCTGGTCATGTTGCTCATGGTAGTTGTTGCCGTTGATGTTTTCTATTCTTTTCTTTTGCTCAAGAATCATTTCTGTTATTTTTTTCTTTAGGAAAAGTCGGGTGAGCTGGTTGAGTTGTCCTTGTTCGAACTGGACATGCTATTGCTGCCATTGCTCTGCAGCTCCTGCAGTTTCATGATCAATGGCATGAAAACTCGCTCCGGCAAGGATTCCTTCAGTGTCTGGAGCACTGGCATCGGTTGGGCGCACATCATGATCGCATTGGCCAAATGGCTGAGACCCTCTGACATGTTGCCCTGGCTAATCAGCTGCTCCCCCATATTGATCTCACTGAGAAAACAACGCTCCAGACTTGTGTGACCATTGGCATCCACCATGGAGCTATTTGGATCCATATCATCGCCACTTGACATACGATATTTGAACTTGTCGTGCTCACGCTGCCGGCGAGCGTGCACCTTCTTTTTGTAGTCGGGATCGGAGCGACGCTTCTGATCGAAATAGATGCAAAAGCCCAGGATAAATGCACTCGCAGTACCTACGGTAAATGCCAGCAAGGATTTGCTCGACATGTTTAACAAAATCAATTTGGAAGCAACTCAAGTTGTCAAAAACAACAAAATAAACCAAAAGCCCAAAAAAAAAATAAAAAAAAAAAAATGAGAAAAGAAAAAGAAATGAAATTAATTATGAAATTAAATCCTAAAATTATAAAATTTTTCTTGTGACTAGTTTTTGTTATACTTTTCGTATTATTTATTCTGTCCTTTCACTCTTATTGTCTGTGTTTACGAAACGAAAACTAAATGAATACTGAGGGAATTCGGTTTTGCCTTGGTTGCCCAATTGATGTTTAAGGCAAGGCCAACATATTTTAACCGAAAGGACTTTATTCCTGTTCACGATGGAGTTCTTTTAGTAAGTGGGACAAAGGGATCTCATCCTTATTATGCTCATTTAGTCTGTACTATATAAGCATGCAGACCCTAGATCAGTCATTCGAATTCTCAGCTTGTAGCAGCCTTTACCTTTCACTAGATCCATTTTTTACCTCTAGAATTGGATGTTACACGAACAGCTTGTTTGTTTCTGCAGATATTTTCTGCTATAAATGTAGAGCAATCAACGCTGAAGTGCCACAAGGATAGCACACTTCTTGTCCAGTCATATACCCATTTTCACGTCTAAGACCCTTTGAACTATTACAGGTGCTCCTTGGTATATGAGCAACAAGAGTATTCATAAAGACCTAAGCATGCACTCTGTTAGAAATTAAATAAATACATGTGCTGTGAGCTATATAAATAGGTCACACAATCATAAACGTAACTTAGATCTTGATCTCTTAGAAAATAGTAGGGACACATGACGCTTAAAAAGATTACAAATGGATCTTTCACACAACGTCATAAATTAAGCCCAAATAAATAAACTTGAATGTAATATATGTTGTTTGAACTCATTGGAGCTCAAACTATCCTGTTAGGTTTTACTGTAACTTAGTTTATTTTCTAAGCAATTTGTTTATAGACAGAGAACTAAAAAAAAAACAGAGAACTAATATATATATTAGAGCTAACATCTCTGCCAGAGAGAGATATCGATGAGGGCCTGTAGCGGCCGATAAAATGTTAGACGTCTGTTTTGTAACAGAAGGGTTGGTACAGGAGCATGCGATATTAGGAATGAGAGTGGGGTTCGAGCCCCTGAAGTGAGGAGACGTGCGTCTGATCTCGTTGACTATAATAAGAACGGAAATATATCATTCTACTAATAAGAAAATTAATATATTTAGTAAATAAAAACCTGTGTACCTAGATATTAAACAAAAGAATATCGATCCCTAGACAAATTACATGTCATATAGACACTATATGTGCCTTTGCTTATTGAAGTAGGCAATAATGTTGAGTGTTTGCTAGGGTATTTAAACGTCGACATACTCGAAGCTGACTGCAGTTCGCCAAATGGTTTCTACTGCGTCCTTTTACCCTTACTCAACACTGTTCATGAGTTTCGTGTACTTTCTGCTCGCAAATGACAGAGTAAACCGTAAGGCCACGAATTCTCCCAGGTAAATAAAAATGAAGTGTCCTAAATCGCCATACAGCAAAATTTGTTTGCGGTTCTTTACTATTTATTGCAACTAATCGCAGAAAGTCAAAGTGTGAGCTTGAGTTTGCATCGATTGTTCGATCGACGCCCATTTCTAGCTTTGGGGGGGGAGAGGTTGGACCAAAGAAAATAGCTATAACAAAAATGCCGATTTTTGTTTTTTGCCGGAAACGCTGTACAAGCAAATTTGTTTGTTTTTTGGTTGGTTTGTGTTTTTGGCTGGGCTTTTCATCGTTTTTTCTAACTAACTACAAAAATCAAAAGTTGGAGATTGATCGAGCGTCAGTCGAGCGCGAGATCTACGCCCGTGGTCTCGCCAAGGGGATTGGGCAACTGCAGATCAGGTAGCTTTGTCAGCAGCAGGTTGAAGATGCGATCGGGCAATGCCACTTTCATGGCCTCCAGAAGGGCCACTGGCTGGGCACAGACCATTATGGCATTGGCCAGATGCACCAGGCCCGCATCCAATTTGGCCTGCCTAAATAGATCCTCAGCCATTTTGATCTCATTCTGGAAATAATGCTGCACAACCTCATGATCGTTGAGCTCAAATGTATCGTCGCTTGTCGACTCGCCTCGGTAATCGCAGACGAACGGCAACGGGTTTGTCTTTTGGCGACGCTCGTGCACCTTCTTCTTGTAATTGGGATCGGAGCGACGCTTTCGATCGTAATATATACAATAGCCGAGGAGCAGTGCACCGGCTGTGCCGGCGGTTAGGGCCAGCAGCGAGTTCCTTGACATATTTTTGTAGGACAATTTTGAAATTGCGAGTTCTTGTGGCTTCTATTGTATAAAATATTGTTCGGGAATATATATATTTTTATGTTTTCTATTTATAAAGGATTTACTTATATTCGAATGAAAATTTGATCTTACGAGAAAAGCTAAAGTTTTATTTGTGTGTAGTTATTTAAAACAAAAGTCAGGGAACACTCTTCTCTTAGCTAGCCGACTAGCTAGCTAACGAACTAGCTGACGAACTATTCGACGAACTATTCGACAAACTAGCTGACGAACTAGCCGACGAACTATTCGACGAACTAGCTGACGAACTAGCCGACGAACTAGCTGACGAACTAGCCGACGAGCTAGCTAACGAACTAGCTGATGAACTATTCGACGAACTATTCGACGAACTTTTCGACGAACTAGCCGACGAACTATTCGAAGAACTAGCTGACGAACTAGCTGACGAACTAGGCGACGAGCTAGCCGACGAGCCAGCTCACGAACTAGCCTGGTTCCGCATTTACATGTATATTCGACTACTGGTTCTTTTGAGCTAAATACCAGCTTCGCTTCAATTTCAATCTTCATGCGTTTAAATTTAAAATTTAATTTGCCCAAGCTTCTACAGATAAGCAAGGGTTTGCCTTGGGGGCTGCCTGATAAGGAGTAGGCGTGTATGAGAGGGCTCTTATTGTTTATGTGTTTTAATACTCTTGCTCAGGGGGTTCGAATTATGTCATGTACTTTGTAAAGCATAAAGGAAACGGACTTCAGTACGACCTCGCTCAACGCAACCCTCGTTACACGCAACTCCTCGATAATTGCAACACCCGATTTCTTAACATTGTAGAAACAGCTGTTCAGAAAAGTATAAATTGTAAGAAAGTACAGACCACAATTTCTGAATTTTTCAAAAAATAAATAAAGTAAAATGAAATCCTTGCTTTGAACACAGAACTATTCGATTAACTTTAATTTTAATGGTTAGCATAGGAAATAGGAAATAGGTCTCGTGGCCAACAGAAAATTTTCCCTCGGTTTTTGCAACCACCTCAGTTTTCGCAATCGCTCGTTAAGTAAGCTCGTGCATAGAAAACCTTTTGTGCCCAAGATATCTTGACCAACTAATCTAATCAACATCGCTCTACTCAACCATAAAGCTCTGTAAATGCAATTCGTCGACGCAAAAGTTGTTTTACATAGTCTCTTCTAAGCCATAGGGTATTTAAACTTCGGCATGCCGAATATAGCTGGTTTCTTTTCATTTTTGTTTGTATTGTAAGTCACAAATGAAATACGATTCATAAAAAATGTTTATCTCTTTAGCCGTACGCTCCGCTGTCATTATTCAGCGGCTGGACCAAATCCTTGGTCCCTTTTCATTATTTAAGCTAACATGTGCACAAATACACACACACATTCACGCACGTTTAAATCTCGCATGTTACGTTGACGTCAAAGTATTTATCACAATGACAAAATCAGGCAAACGCACGGACTCCCCGAAGGTGGAGCCGAGAGGGGCCAACCGAACAGACTTTACTTTAGGGTTTAAATGTAACACATTTACAAATTGTTTATACACACACATCAGCACACACACGCACACACACGCGTCTCAGCATGGTGATAAATGATAACAAATTAGCGGTTTGTCTCTTAAGCGAAAAAGAGCGCACCACGCACAACGCACCACACACACAAACACCTAACCACACGCACACACCAGAGCAGAGCGATACCTAAAAGTTACCACAATGCAATAAATCACATCACCTGGCCAACGCACACACGCACACACATACACTTGTCTACACACGCAAAACCTAAATGCCTGCTCGTACAGTAAACACTGCTAAATGACAAGTCTTGTCTTGACTAAAAGTGAATAATAAGAATAAGAATAAGAATAAGAATAAGAATAAGAATAAGAATAAGAATAAGAATAAGAATAAGAATAAGAATAAGAATAAGAATAAGAATAAGAATAAGAATAAGAATAAGAATAAGAATTAGAATAAGAATAAGAATAAGAATAAGAATAAGAATAAGAATAAGAATAAGAATAAGAATAAGAATAAGAATAAGAATAAGAATAAGAATAAGAATAAGAATAAGAATAAGAATAAGAATAAGAATAAGAATAAGAATAAGAATAAGAATAAGAATAAGAATAAGAATAAGAATAAGAATAAGAATAAGAATAAGAATAAGAATAAGAATAAGAATAAGAATAAGAATAAGAATAAGAATAAGAATAAGAATAAGAATAAGAATAAGAATAAGAATAAGAATAAGAATAAGAATAAGAATAAGAATAAGAATAAGAATAAGAATAAGAATAAGAATAAGAATAAGAATAAGAATAAGAATAAGAATAAGAATAAGAATAAGAATAAGAATAAGAATAAGAATAAGAATAAGAATAAGAATAAGAATAAGAATAAGAATAAGAATAAGAATAAGAATAAGAATAAGAATAAGAATAAGAATAAGAATTAGAATAAGAATAAGAATAAGAATAAGAATGAGAATAAGAATAAGAATAAGAATAAGAATAAGAATAAGAATAAGAATAAGAATAAGAATAAGAATAAGAATAAGAATAAGAATAAGAATAAGAATAAGAATAAGAAAAGGATTAAGAATATCCGCAACTTTGAACGATAATCAATAAGCTATAAGACAAGTTCCTTTTAGGCAGCTAAGACTGTAAATATTACGTATACGCAACGCTTTTCGTTGAACGTTTGCTTCACTTGTTTTCTTTCTTCTGCGTGTGGGCGTGTGTGTGTGTGTGTGTGTGCGTGTGCGGGTGGGCGCGGTTGTGGTTTAAGAAGCTGCTTTCTTATGCATGCATGAAGCGGAGGCCAGCGGCGCATAGCCGTGAGTTGTGACAGTAACCAGAGTCTGCCGTGAATCCTGAAGCCTGAATCCTGACCCGCCCTAGCCAGCCAGCTCACGTACTCCTGCTGCTGATGTCCTTCTGGCATCCTGTGTGAATCCTTTTTACTGGCCTGCACAGCATTTATGAGTTGCCGCTCCGCCCATTCAACCGCTGAACTGCCTCCTCAACAGCTCCAACGGCTGCTGCAACATGGAGGCCGGCAGCTGGAGCAGCACCACCAGGATGCCACGTTGTGAGCTGGTTCGTTTGGGTGTTAAGTATGTGCTTGCGCATAATTCATGCCTTGCACACCCACACCCACACACCCACACACCCACACCCACACACACACACACACACACTTAGAGAAAACGTTGGCTGGGTTCAAGCTGGAAGCTGGGAGTCATTTTAATTATCATTTTCGGATTTGGACGCGTTTGGAAAACTATGAAAATTTAATGAGAGGCTGCTGCCTGCGAGCAAAATTAGAGCCACCAATTTGTTGCAGGCCCGCACATGCACACACACACACACACACACACACACACTTATAACGAACATGCATGTGTTTGCCTGGCCATAGCCCAACTGCCAAGCCGGACAAGGGCTTCTTCAGGATCTGCCTGCCAGAGATCCTGTTGAACTTATTTCATTACATTAGAAAAAACCAAAAATAAGCAAACAAAAAAACACTCGCAACCGCAACGCTATTTGTTTTTCAGTTTATGCATCCTAATGAAGCAACTTGAGGTTCCCCATGAGTGTGCGTGTGTGTATGCTGTGTGTGTGTGTGTGTCTGTTGGATAATTAAGTGCACGCGGACAACATTGGACTTGGCCCACCAACATTTTAATAGCTTTAAGTTGCTTTTAAAATATAAAACTATTATCGCTTGGCGTTAAAATACAACTCAATTGTATTCAGAGTTGTGCAGCTCGCTTTTGCTGAGTTTTGGGGAGGATATCAGGGAAAAGAAAACGTTTTTCATTGCAAAAACGAATTGATCTGAAAGAAAAGAGACGGCTTCTCCTTCAACAGCTATATGATTCGATTGATTGCAATACATGTGATGCCTGCAATCAAAAGAAGGACATTAGCAAAGTTAAATGCTGATAACTTTAAGACTGAAAAACTAGTTTTCATACATCCTATCGACAGTTGGTCTTGATCAGGTATATATATAGTTCATTAAGTCGCTGATGCCTTAGACATATCATGCCCAAATTGTGATACTCTCTGCAAATTTATACACAAATTCAAATAATTCAGCAAAAAATTACTGCAGCCTGAGCCCTTTTCTTGTTAACAATTTTATGCTGACTTTGTTAGCTTTTGTGTTGTTTGCTAAAAATGCGGTCACATTCTTTTGTTTGCCTACAAAATAATCGACATAACGACCCAATTAGTTAGAACAAATGCACACATGACAGCTAACAGCTTATTCGAGGCAATTCACAAAAAGGCTTAGCCAAGCTAACACCCTGATATATACAAGCCCCATCGGACAAAAATCGAATAATAAATAAGATAGACAAAAACAAATAGAGGCCAATCTATGCTAGTTGCTAGTTTGCTAAATCGTGCAAAAGTCCAATTGTTTTATATCAATGCCAAAATATTATCTTTATGGTAATTTAAGTATTTTCTACAAGAATTTAATATCCGTGTAAACATATAATAATAATAATAAAATGAACATTCTTTCCTATGCAAGCCAATTCGTTCGATAATCTCATTGTTCTATATCCATGATAAAATATTTATTTTTTGTATTATTTAAGTATCCTAGAAGTACGAATAATTATTAAATACTACCCGGACAATCAGTAGTTAATCAGTCAGTCAATAAGTCAGTCAGTCAGGACAGACAGTTTTATATATAGATTATATTATGGCAGTAATAATAAGTGCAATATTAGTTGTAAGAATACCCATGCTTCAGTCGATATTAAGATAAGTCTATCGATAGGCAATAGAGGGAGGCACGCGCTTGAAAGGGCGATCTCTCGAGATATCGGCGAGCAAGCTAGATTGCGCGATTAAAAACGAATAAAAAGATTGTGAAATAAATACAGCCCACAATATCTTATTAAGTAGACCGATCCTCATAAGGGAAGAAAGCAGTTTTACCAAATTTCATAAACGAAACTTAACAGATGCACCTGAATATCAACTAAGTCGGCTGTCAAAAAGTATCGCCAAATAAAAGCTCTAATCTGGGTAGGTAAATCGTTACGAACTTAACAACTCGAAAAGAGCCCTAATAAATATA